AGGCCATATGAGGAGCTCCGGCAAATACAGTACAATATCATGAGATTATAGAAGGTATGTTTATCTAATACTTGTTATTTTTTTGTCGAATTAATTATGAAGAAAATAATATTTATAATTTGTTTTTGTGGGGGCAGAGGAAATGATACATGGATTACAAAGGCTAGGGTGGAAGAAAGTTGATGTGAGCTTTCATTCGGCATTTTGGCCGTTTTTCGCGCATAATAATATCCACGTAAGCATGTGAATTTAAATTGGTCAAAATACTTTTTCTTGAAAAATTTCATGAAGACAGACGGACGTATGTTTGGTGGTGATTCTTGATTTTGTGGCTCTCGATTAATAATAGGTGAAAAACGAATGGTTTCATAATGCTGGAGCAGGAGTGGTTGCTCATGTTGCAGATACAATAAAGCAACAAGATTCTTATTCGACGTACATTTCTGCTAGTCTGTAGCTGTACGTTTACGATGTTTTGTTGGAAACTCGTAATTGTTACAAATGAAAGCCAATGTATAAGCAAGAACAAGAACCGAAAAATCAATAAAATCGACTTCTTTAACGCAATTGTTACAAGAAGCCATGTGTAAGTAAGAACTGGGAAATTACAGTTTGCATCCCTCAAGTTTGCACTGATTCCACATTTGGGTCCCCCATGTTCACAAAAAACACATTTGGTCCCTCATGTTTCATATTTACACCTTTGGTCTTTACGTCAATTACCGTTAGTCGTCATTTATATAGTGATGGGAACACACTTGATCCCATTAGTACTAACGGAAAATTGACTGAAAGGACTAAAAGTATAGAGTTTCTAAAATATGAGGGACAAAATGTGAAATTGGTTCAAACTTAGGGGGTGAAAACTGTATTTTTTTCCAGTAAGCACCAGAGCTGAAAAATCAATAAAATCGAGTTCTGTAACCCCCTTTTTAATTTTATTTATTTTTCTTTAATAAAGACCTCGAAAGAGGAAAATGATATAGCCAGACGAATGTAAACGAAAGTTCAATTTTCCTCGAAAAGAATTTTAACTAGTATAATTTTTTGTGTCCTATTTCCTTGTACTGTTGCTTATGTAAAGGATTATTCTTATGAAGCAAATGGTTTAAGTCTGAGTTTTAGTGGAGAATACAAAGTTCATCGCATTGATTTCTCCACCTGCATTTGTTTGCTTGCTGGGATTTTAATCACTATAAATCCATAGCTGCAAAAACTTCGAAACTCCCCACAGAAGAAAATCGGATAAAAAAAAATAAAAAAAAAATCCCGGAAATGGCGGAGAAGGAAGGAGGAGTTGTGAAGAACGGCCACGAAGAAGGCCTAAAAATGGCGAAGTCCCTTCTAGAAGAGTTCGAGCTGCCATGTGGCCTTCTCCCATTGGCCGATGTGGTCGAAGTAGGATTCGTGAGGAGCACCGGTTACATGTGGATCGTGCAGAAGAAGAAAGTCGAACACAATTTCAAGATGATTAGCAAGCTCGTGAGTTACGACTGTGATATAAAGGGATATGTGGAAAAGAAGAGGATCAAGAAACTCAAGGGAGTTAAGGCGAAGGAGCTTATGCTCTGGCCACCTGTCAACGAGATCACCGTTGATGATTCGCCAGCTGGCAAGATCCACTTCAAGAGCCTAGCTGGCATCACCAAGACTTTCCCAGTCGAGGCTTTTGCTGCTGGACAGTGATTGTAATATCCGAAAATTTATCGGTGTTCTGTTTCCTTTTATTTTCGTTTTCATAAGTGATTATGACTTATGTTACGTTGTTTGATTACTAGACGAATAAGTTGTTTGCATGCGTCACCGAATTCTGTTTAGCGTGTCTTTGTTGGATCGAAAACTAAAATCTCGAGTATATTCCAATATCGATCAGAAAAATTCAAACAAAAAAAAAATCGAAATTTTCGGAATTCAAAATAATTCTTTTTGTGTCGAGATTTGCAGAGATTAGAAATTATGATCCAGTTTCCACTATTTTATATGATATAATGAGTAGTTTTAGTTTGCTGACGTGTATTATCAGCCCCAATTATTTGATATAGAAAAATAAATAAAGACTCCTATGAAATATTAATATCAAGAATCAATAATCTGAGTCATAAATTCAGCAAAAAAAAAATAATAATAATAATAATAATAATTAACATACTTGATGCTCCAACAGGCGACAATTCGTATGTGTAATGACACATTTGATATCAGCCCTAAAACCAGGTATGTATATAGCCACATTATGAAAACTCATTCAAATTACAAAATATATTACCAAACAAACACAACAACATTAAGTGCTTAACATACCGAATTATTCTTCCCTTTATGTGTCATTACTGTTAGAAATTTTATCGTACATGTATACGAATTCCCAAGAACCAACATGCTTGAATCAACGAGAATTAAATATAAACATAAACACGGAAGCGTACCTTACATCATTGAATCGAATCTTCGAATCCCACTGGATTTGAGACAGGTCTTCCAAAGAATCCGCAGTTCCTTAATTATCTCTCTAACGATGGATTTTAGAAGAGACGGAATGGTTGCGTTTCTTTGGGGACCACGACCCTTTATATAACTGTAGAAGTCCAGTTATATTATAATTGTGATTCAGCCCCATCAATAAATCACAATTAAACCCTAATTGTCTCTACACATTAGGCCCATAATTATAGTCTAATACCCATAAGTCCAACCCAATAATCTTTATTAGATCACAATTAATTTGGACTTTCTTTTAGATAGCCATACACATTTACGTCACATATGTGAGCCCACATAATTATTGAAATAATTCCAACAATTACAACAGTATTACCAGCATCAATGGTACTTGGGCATAATCTTTTGTTTCAGGGTTAATCCCGGCGGGAAAACCGACCTTTTTTTTGCAGCTCTGCCAAAGCTTCTTTCATGTTTATTCTATCACCAGAAGATTCCGCACAACACCTCAAAGCCAACTCCAGTACTGATGACACACATTGCACGTTTTTCTCAAAGTCTTGTTCGTTTTCCGTATTTAATACATTGGCATCTATAACCTCACTTGATGACTCATTATTATTAAGTGAGCTGTGAACCCAACTCTTTAAGGTTAAATCTTCACCGAACATATCGTCGCTTGGCCTTTTTCTCGTAAAGGTTTCCATCACCATCACTCCATAGCTATAAACGTCACACCTTGTCGAAACTAACCCTTCCAAGCCATACTCTGTAAAAAAACAATCGTATAATTCAATAAATCAAAAACATCTAAAAGTAGAATGAGTGAAAGTGAGAATATTAACCTGGTGCAATGTAACCTATTGTTGCTAGGGTGTTAGTGTGCACAATGCTCTCACCTTCGCCCATCAATTTTGCTATCCCGAAATCACTCAAATGGGCAACCATTTCTTCATCTAACAACACGTTGCTTGGCTTTAAATCGCAATGAACAATGAGAGTCGAATAGCCATGGTGAAGATATTCCAACGCACATGCAACATCAATCATTATGTTCAATCTTTGCATTAGATCCAAGCAATAGTTGTGCGAATATAGCCATTGGTTGAGGTTTCCATTTGGCATGTATTCAAGTACCAGTGCCTTGAAATCCTCGTTAGAGCAACTGCTCATGACTTTGGTGAGATTTCTGTGGCGGATGTTTCGTAGTACCTCACATTCGACTTCAAAGCTTTTAGAAGAAGCTTTTGATAGCGAATTGAAGACCTTTACAGCGAAAATATTACCATCTCTTAGAACGGCTTTGTACACAGAACCAAAACTCCCCATTCCAAGTAAATTGGTCTCACTGAATTGTTCAGTTGCTTGTAGGAGTTCGTAATACGAAATTCTTTCTGGTACAGTAGGAACCAGCTCATCAATTCCCTCGACTGTGTTATTTTTTCTTCTGTATCTTACGAAAATGAAGACTAAAGAGAGAAGCGAGATAAATGCAACAACTCCAATAAGAATAAATAAAGCCAAGTGTGCCCTTCTCATTCTTGACTTGTGTTTCGAAACATTATGGTTGCAAAGTGGTACATGGAACCTTGGAATTCCACATAATGCCTCATTACCCTTAAAAGACTCCGCAGTGAAGTTCTCGAAAGAACCACCAGTTGGAATTTCTCCTCTTAGAGCATTGAAAGAAACATTAAAATAGTCGAGGTGTTGAAGTACCTCCAAGGACTTTGGAATTGAACCAGAGAGGTTATTGTAAGACAAGTCTATACTTACCAAATTGATTATGTTCCCCACGGTCTCGGGAATAGAATCTTCCAGTAGATTATGTGCCATAGACAGATAACTCAAAGATTTTAAATTTCCAATTGTGCTTGGAATAGAATCCGACAAGTTGTTCATTGATAGATCGATAGAGGTTGCTGACACTAAATTACCTATTTCCGGAGGTATAAATCCGGTTAAGGAATTTGAGGATAAGTTTAGCTCCAACATATTTTTGAGGCGCCACATGCTCAATGGTATGCTTGAAGACAACATGTTGGATTCTAGATAGAGATTTCTTAAAGATGTGATATTTCCTAAACATTCCGGTATTCGACTGGAGAATTTATTTTGGCTTAAAGATAAAATAACCAAGTTGTTTAAATCGCAAATACCATTTGGAATGGAAGCTGTCAGATTGTTGCTCTGCAGATCTAATCCTTGAAGCTTTTGCAGATGGTTGAGAGTGGGTGGAATGTTACCGGACAACTGGTTATTGTATAAAGAAAGTTTCACCAGGTTGGTTAAATTGCCAATTTGTGCAGGGATGATACCCTTAATTTTGCAATTGTAGGTAAATAAATATTGCAACGAGGTAGATAAATTCCCAACGGAATCCGGGATGATTCCATTTAGAGGATTATCAGCAATTGATAGCACGTTTAAAGATCTGCAATTAGTCAAGGAAGTTATGAAGCTCAATTCTAAAGAAGTTGATTCGGTCCTTAGATTGTTGCCGAATATAGATAGACGTTCAAGCATTCTTAGGTTACCGAGAAAATGAGGTAGAAAACCAGTGAAGTTGTTACGACCGATATCGAGAACTATGAGTTTGGAACAGTTAGTGATCGAATCGGGTATTACTCCAGTTAAATTGTTTCTAAAGAGATATAGTTCTTCAAGAGCAGGTAACCCACGATCCAAATTAGTTGGAAGACTGCCTGACAAACTATTAGTTAGAAGACTAAGAACTTGAAGGTTTGACATGTTAAAGAGATTCGATGGAATAAAACCAGTGAAGTTGTTAAAGCCTAATGATAATGTACCCAGTTGGTAAATTTTGCTAATTTCTCGCGGTAAACCACCTGTTAAGATTAAAAAAAAAAATTAGGCATTGCAACTAAAGAGAAACTAATAATATTGGAAGTCATACCTATTAAGCTGTTGAATGATATGTCCAAGTATTTGAGATTTGTAAGATTCCCGATATCTTTTGGAAGGTTTCCAGACAGTAGATTGTGATGTAGGTTTAAAATTTGGAGAGAAGAAATATTGAAGATACTGACTGGAATTGTTCCACTAATTTGGTTTCGTTCAATGCCAAATTGAGCCAGGTTCTGAAGATTGCCAATCTCGGACGGGATAACACCTATGGATGGAACACACAAATCAATTGTTTTTAGAAAAATACATAATTTGAACAAGAAACGGAAAAATTATATCAACCTAGTTCACAAAGAATGTGAAGTACTATAATTTATACCATTTAAGTTGTTACTCCCGAGAGCTAAAATCAGAAGAAATTCCAAATTGCCGATTTCTTTTGGTATCTTCCCACTAAAGGAGTTGTGAGACAGTCCGACAATTTGAAGTTGTGAACATTCGGATAGATTTGATGGAATTCGCCACTCAATTGATTTTTAGATAGGTAAATTCCTTGAACAAGTGGTAGTTTACTGCAAAAGTCACTTGGAAGGCTACCACTCAATTCATTTCCCGAGAAAAATATAGACTCCAGGGTTGATATGTTGAATATGGCTGATGGTATTTGACCCGAGAGACGATTGTAAGCAAAACTAAGAAGCCGTAGATTTGTTAGCTTAGAGAGGGAAGTTGGAATGGAACCGGTAAAGCTGATATTCCGTAGAGAAAAATACTCGAGTTTAGTTAAAAGACCCAACCACGGTGGAATCTCTCCACTCAAGGTGTTTGCTCTGAAAGAAATAAACTTCAATCTGCGTAAGAAAGACAACTGTTGAGGCAGAACACCACCGAAAAAGTTGAAACTAAAATCAAGTGAAACGAGGAAGGAAAGGTTTCCTAGTTGCGGTGGAATTGTGCCTGAAAGACCCATGTAAGAAATGTTCACCGCAGTTACTCGACTATGGCGCAAACTGCAAGTGACGCCAATCCAGCTGCAGACAGAGCTCTAATTCGTCCAACTTTTGGCAAGTGTGTTATCAGGATCCGAAGTGATACGAGATTTCAGCGCAAGAAGAGCAGATTGATCCGTAGTTGAATGTGTTACGTCTGCCGCCATTAGGCAATATGATGACATTATTATTTGGAGGAGTAGGACTATACATGCAACAATATTGCAACACCAATTTTTCCCCATCATTACTTCTTAGCTTACTGCAATATTTTTTTTTCTTGGTGAACTCCTCATTATTTTGGTGAAATACTTCAATATAATTCATTTAGTTGATGAGTCTCCTACGAGTCAAAGAAGACCTTAATTCAGTTATTTATTGCAGAGGAAACTACTAACTTATTTGGGGAAGGTAGCTGTAGCCTGTTGTATCAATGTAACTGTATTTTTGGAATTTAAATTTGGATTTAAATTTTAGGGTAAATTACACCTACACCCCCAATGTATGCTAAAATAACTTTATGATCCTTGTGGTATTGGTAATTACAGCCACACCCCTGAAACAAGTACCGGAGCCAAGATTTCATGTCATGAGGACCGATATATGTATTATATTCCTTTCTCGTGGGGCCGTTAATGCTACCATAGACGAAAATTTATAAATCTTACATAAGATAATAATGATTTAAGAAATGTTAGCAGAACCATGTCACCCCTAGTTCTATGTTGTCTCCACAATTGCATCAAACTAATAGTCCGTTAGAACCATAAACGGAATAACTTATCTAATGCATTATTCCGTTAGGGTTTCTAGCAATGCTTCGGGGGTCATTGACTCATTGTAATTACAGATACTACAGGGACCTTAAAATTATTTTAATATACTTTGGGGGTGTAGGGGTAATTTACGCTAAAATTAATGAGGAGAGAGAGGAAAATTTAGGAAATTAAAATGTTTTTTCCAGCCCCATTCAATACTCAACTAACAATGGGCCAAGCCCGTTACTTCATGGGCCCATTTCCAATTAAAACTGTCGTTGTAGCATTTATTTCATCACAGGGACCTCAATAATTCAAAAGTCCAGTTTTTCGTAATTTAAGGATAATTGCGGGGTCGTTTTACAATTTCGAAAAGAAAATGAAGGAAAGGAGGAGAGCTGTAATCACATGGGATGCTGTTTGGTCCTGTGGGTCCCCTGCACACCTTGCCATTATCCCCACTAGGAGTGGAAATTGAAATAAAATATTTAATTTTTAGCTGATTTTTATTTATAAAGAAATTCGATTTTCGACCATATTATTTTTAATTTCGATTTCTCCAAATTCCAATTTTCAGTTTATTTATTTTAAAGTTGATAGAGATTTGAATATTTATGAGATTTTGATTAACGATTCAATTTTAATACCAAAAAAATTGATTTTCCAAAATTTGGAATAAGCCATTTCATTTCAATTTCTAAAAATTCCAAATTTCTGAATTTTTGGGTTTTCAGATATAATTTATTTTTAGAAAAATTCTGAAATTGTTTAATTCCAATTTGTCAATTTCCACCCCCTAGCTGCTACAGTCCACGTCCCTCCTCTTTTTCTCTCTCTAGCTTTTTTATTTTTATTTTTAATTTAATTTTATTCTTTTCTTTTCCTTTCTCCTACCGACAATTATGAGCTCTGAATAATGAACAGGAAAACTTTATGCAAATCGCAGAGCTGAAAATTCGTCGAAATTCCTTCTCCCATTTTTCCTTTTGATTGCTGGCTCGGATTTCGTTTCCATGGCCGACGATAAGGTAACCTTTCCTTGCCTTTATTTATTTTTAAATTTTGGGGAAATTGGCAAGAAAAAAAAATCTGAGAAAAAAACGCTGCGATGAGTTTTTTAGGTTTTTATTTTCCATAGATATTGCAGATCCATTTTATTTCCTTCATTTTTCGTACGAATTCAGAATTTCTTGCTGGCTTTGCCGAGCTAACGGATCCCAAAACTGTAAATTCCTCATTTTATGATGGGGAATCTTGGTGTAACCTTTGCTTAATTAGATCTTATGTAAATACTAATTGTGATATACAAGAAATTGCTTGCTTAACTATTGTTATTAGTAGCTGTGATGGCATTTAACTCGGCAGTTGTCGTAATCGTAATTGTAATTTCAGTTTTTATAGGAGATTTATGATATGATTGCTAATTCATTTTTTTTATAGGAGATGTCTGTTCCTGTAATGGATAGGAAAGATGCAGTCACTGGTCACATAATTTCAACAACTATTGGGGGAAAGAATGGAGAACCTAAGCAGGTGAATCGTTTTTCCTTCGTCGTTTAACATATAAAATCTTTGGATTTAGCTGATTAAGCTAACTTTTGCTAATGTATACTGCAATTAAATTAATTTCAATCAAATGTGGGTTCAATTTTTGTTTGTCTAAATACTTTTTTCTCGCATGACTTGAGCAGTTGAACTGTAGTGCGATCAGTTGATAAGAATGTAAGACTAAAGAATCATGGAAGAAGGAAAAAAAACTTTGTATGAGTATCTTATTTTATTTGTTGTTTATTCTGCAGACGGTTACTTACATGGCTGAACGAGTTGTAGGGACTGGTTCATTTGGAATCGTGTTTCAGGTATATACATATATCTATGGACCACTTGGTTCTAGTTTCTTGATCTCGTGTTTTCAATAAAACCTGTTTTGTTATATTATTTTTCATTTTTCTTAGGCGAAATGCATTGAAACTGGAGAAACGGTGGCTATAAAAAAGGTTTTGCAAGACAGGAGATACAAAAACCGTGAACTAGAGTTAATGAGGACGATGGATCATTCTAATGTTGTTTCCTTGAAACACTGTTTCTATTCGACTACAAGCCAAAACGAGCTTTTTCTCAATTTGATTATGGAATATGTGCCAGAAACCATTTTTCGCGTTCTGAAGCATTATAGTGACTTGAACCATAAAATGCCACTGATTTACGTGAAACTTTACACTTATCAAGTAAGTGGTATATTTACTTATGAGCCTAATGTCCAATTCGACATTTGTAAGTTTTCATCGTTGTTAATTAGGATTTCTTTTGCAGATTTTCAGAGGGTTGGCTTACATGCATTCTGTTGCGGGTGTGTGCCACAGAGATTTGAAGCCTCAAAATGTTTTGGTATGCACTTCAAAGAATCATTCAAAAGAATAAATAAATAAAATTAAAATTAAAAAACCGAAACATAGTCTTCTTCTTGATATTGTCCATGTTCTCTGTAGGTTGATCCTCTTACTCATCAGGTTAAGATATGCGATTTTGGAAGTGCAAAAGTATTAGTAAGTAATTTTAGTTCAATAAATTGATAATTTTAGCTTTATAACTTTCTATATTCAATATTTTGCCCAAAGTGTGTGGTTTATAACCATATAATCTTTTAATTTTAAATAGGTGCAAGGTGAAGCAAACATATCATACATATGCTCACGATTTTATCGGGCTCCTGAACTAATATTTGGTGCAACTGAATACACTACTTCAATTGATATTTGGTCGGCTGGTTGTATACTTGCTGAGCTTCTTCTTGGCCAAGTGAGTAATTCTGCTTAATCTGCTGTCACTTATATACTTCCTAGGTTTCATTTTATGTTGTTTTTTACGTGCACTCATCCATTCTTATTCTATAGCCGTTGTTTCCTGGGGAAAATGCTGTGGGTCAGCTTGTTGAGATCATCAAGGTACAACTTCATCATCTTTTTTTTTTCTCTTCTAGTTCTGATTTATTGATTTATTGATTACATTATTTTATTATTTTGTCTTTCTAGGTTCTTGGAACTCCAACACGGGAGGAAATCCGTTGCATGAATCCGAACTATACGGATTTTAGGTTTCCACAAATCAAGGCACACCCTTGGCATAAGGTACACTTTCCATTTCTGAAGCTAAAACAAATTAAATCATAGGGGACTTTTTTGCAATAAATTAACATGGGGTGGTTTTTGTAGCAATTTGATACAACACAGGGATACTAATAGCAATGAACTCTACTCTTTCCTTAGGTTTTTCAAAAACGAATGCCTGCAGAAGCAATTGATCTTGCCTCCAGGTTACTGCAATACTCTCCGAATCTCCGCTGTACTGCTGTGAGTTTCTTGCACTTATTTCTTTGAAAGTTATATTTCGGAAAATTATTCGGTATTTGGTTGATAAATCAATAATATCGAACTTCTGGCTTCATATTAATTGAGATGATACACTTAATTGTTTCAGCTGGAAGCATGTGCACATTCTTTCTTTGACGAGCTTCGAGAACCTAATGCTCGATTACCAAATGGCCGCCCATTGCCACCTCTTTTCAACTTCAAACAAGAGGTATTTAAAATACATATTTTAAATTCAACTTTTTTTTGGTAACGATTTTACATTATTTATTTATTTTCGGTTTCTCGGTTTTCTGTTTTGCAGTTATCCGGTGCTTCTCCGGAACTGATTAACAAGTTGATACCCGACCATGTGAAAAGGCAAATGGGCCTGCAGTTTTTCCCTTCATACGAAGGCACAACGTGAAATTGAGTAATTCTTCTTGATGGGTTAAACAAATACAAAACCTCTATTTGAGTGTTTAGCTGAAGAATCGGTTTTTCTTCAGCTACGAAGATAATGAGAAAGCCTCTACAAAATGCAGCTCTGGATTTTTATTTTTCTCTTATTTTTTTCTCCGTTTTTTTTTTCCTCTCGGGGCGGCATATATATCTGGGAAGGGGAATATCCTATTTGTGTATATTTTTTGGGTTACTGACCGGAAAAAGCTTGCAACGGGTGAGATATGGAGTTTGTGTTGTATGATTGGATAAATGTATCAGAGATCTACCGAAGGTGAAAATGGCAAACGTGGGTTCGTGTTTTTTTTTTTTTTATTTTTTTTTATTCCTGCCCCGATTTTGACATGCTTTTGCTTATACTTGTTACAGCTGTTAATTTTCATGTTGTGTAACTTCACGAAATTGTTTGCTATTATATTATGCAGAATAATGTATTTTCTGTCTCTCTCAGCTGGTTCTCTAAATATATTAGATGTTGGATTAAGTTTTCACCAAGTAAAATATATTATATTTGAATGAAATTTTCGTAATTACTTTTGAAAATGTTAAATATCAGAAATTCCAAAAAAAAAAAAAACTATATTACAAAATTGGAAAATTTAATCAAATTACCAAATTGTCCACTCTGTGATACGCCGTCGTATTGGAACAACTCTTCCGTTTCGGAACAGTCAAAACACCGATGAATGCGGCAGCTGCAAAATCAACGGCGCGATTCAATTTTGATGATCCGACGGTGTGCTCCGTTTGGGTGTAAATTGATTATGGTGTGCCCTACCGCATTGAATACATTCAAGTTGTCCTCATTCAGACGGCTCCACTATTCTCCACAGTTCCCAAATCTCGAGGGTAAAGGCTCTTTCTTTCGATTATTTAATTTTTTTATTGTCCCGCCCAATGAATTTTTCCATTTAAATATTAGTGTCCTTGTATGCGACACCCATTTTTGAGTTACTCGAGGGTTTTGTTTCACTATAAACAATGTAATGGATTTTCTTTTGTGTTTTGCTTTGGAATATCTAGGGTTCATTGCGAATTGTTTCAGAGATAACAACGTTGAAAAAATCTGTCTAGGAAATGAATGTAGTATGCTAATTATACATACACAGACTTACAAATCTCAGCTCAAATGGGTTAAAAATTGGTATAAAAATCCCTAATATGAATTATTTCAAAATAAAGAGTTGTGAGATATTTATGTTAAAATATAGGTAAATTATGGATCTTCACTTCATTCTTTATTGTATATTATGGATAGGTAAATTACGGTCAAACTCAAATTACGAAAAAAACCATCTTGTTTGGGTAATTACAATCACCCCTCAACTATGCACGTCCACTCTTGCGGTATCAAATTTAGTGGAATCTTCTAGATTATGTGGAATATTCTCCAGTATGTATTCATTTAACCCCATTCGAGCTCCACATTTTGAAACAAGATGATTGTAAGTTATGTTTCTTGACTTGTAAATATCAGATTGTGCTGCATCGGAAACTATATATTTTTGCACAAAACGAGTACAAACTAGAGAACATTCCATGAAATCTGTTGAATTTGACCTAATAAGGATGGACGTGTAATACGATTCATAGTTGAGGAGGTATCGTAATCGCCCAAACACGAGGGGGTTTTTCGTAATTTGACTTTACCTCGGGGGTGGCCGTAATTTACCCAGTATTTTGCATATCTATGTGTGAATAGTTTGCCTGTCTTGTTCATGTGGTGGATGAAAATGAGGGGGGGGAAATAGTTATGTTTCTAATTTTCTGTCCTATTCAGCCAACAACATCTTTAATTATTGTAAAAGATTCTGACAGATTTTCATAGTCAAGAGAGATAGAAAGCCAAAGAACAAATCTATTTCTTCTAGTTGTTCACTTTGGGGATCTAATGAGAGAGTTGGAGTTAATTTTGTCACTTCTTTTCTTCTGGATAACTAATGCTGGTTCTTCTTTCAGTCTTCTTTCTCCGAAAGGTGTCAACTTTGAAGGTTAGCTCCCACATTTCACCTCTTTCTTGTTTTCCTCGTTTCAATACGTAGAAATCTTGAACAAGGGTTTGTTGAATGTTATTACAGTTGCAGCTCTAATGTCTGTGAAAAGAGAAATGAGAGATGAAAAGCATGTTCTTGATGGATGGGATATCAATTCAGTCGACCCGTGTACTTGGAACATGGTTGGCTGCTCGCCCGAGGGCTTTGTTGTTTCTTTGTGAGTTTTTTTTATCTCATTTCATTATATTTTTATCCCTGTGGTACATTTTGCCTTCTTAATTTGCCTTTTTTTGCCGGCTGTTAGAGAAATGGCTAGTGTGGGATTATCGGGCACACTTTCACCGAGTATTGGAAATTTAACTCATCTACGGACAATGTGAGTTCTAGTTATGAATCATTTGGAGATGGTAAATTGGTAATTGATATCACTTATTTATTATATGTGCCCGAGTCGAATGATGTTTCGAAAAAAAAATCCCCTGTTTTTCACTGTATGCTTTGAAATATTTTGACTAAATTGTCAAGATTATTTGTCATTTGGTATTACATAGGTTATTACAGAACAATAAGTTATCTGGAAATATTCCCACCGAAATCGGAAAGCTTTCTGAATTACAAACACTTGATCTTTCCGGAAATCAGTTCAGTGGCGAAATTCCAAGCTCTCTGGGTCGTCTTACTCGTCTTAGTTACTTGTAAGTATGTATTTACTATTGTTCATTCAGACATGTTTTGGAAACCAGATTTGCTTTAATTTACTTAATTGGAATTTTGCAGAAGGCTTAGCAAAAACAAGTTGTCTGGACAAATTCCGAAAGATGTCGCCGATCTTTCCAGTCTTTCCGTCTTGTATGTTTTCTGACCCAAACTCCGACTATTTATATTTGAAATACGAGATATAGCAAATTGTTATCGAGTAAAAGAAAACCAACAACTTTTCAGGGACTTATCATTCAATAATCTAAGCGGCCCGATTCCTAAGATACTTGCTAAAGATTACAGGTGAGTTTATTTTTAATTTTTATTTTCAATTTCACATTATTACGGGACTCCTTACTAAGGATTTTTGTTACAGTGTTGCAGGGAACATATTTCTCTGTTCTTCACCGTCGGAAATTTGTACGACTGCTCCCATATCAGTTAATGGTATTATTAAATCACTCCTTTTTTAAATAACATGTTATAAATGCTAAATATCAAAATAAATGTTATCTTTAACACTCTCGTTTATTTCTTTCAGAAACAAGTTCGTACGCAAAAGTCACCCGTAATCATCATAATCATCACTTACTGGTTGCTGTTACAGTCGGTGTCGGTTCCATATTCGTCGTTTCTATCTTACTTCTCTTGTCTTGGGTGTATTGGCGCAGATCTCAAGTTCTTTGTAAATCACACGGTACCTCTTAATTGCTTTTTCGTATTTATTTATTTATTTATTTTAATAAGTTCCCGTTAAGACAACTATGAAATGAAACTATCTCAATCATTTTTTATGCGCAGTTCAACAAGATTACGAGTTCAATATCGGAAACTTGAAAAGGTTCTCATTACGCGAGTTACAAACAGCAACAAGCAACTTCAACCCTAAAAACATAATCGGACAAGGTGGATTCGGAGTTGTTTACAAAGGCGTTCTTCCAAATAAGACAATGATAGCAGTAAAAAGACTAAAAGACCCTAGTGTCACTGGTGAAGTACAGTTTCAGACAGAAGTCGAAATGATAGGCCTAGCTTTGCACCGGAACCTTCTACAATTGTACGGCTTCTGCATGACTCCCAAGGAGAAATTACTTGTTTACCCTCATATGCCTAATGGCAGCGTTGCAGACCGTTTGAGAGGTTTATATTTCTATATTTTTACGTGTATATAGTTTTGCTTGTGAGCTTATTTAATTTTATAAAATTTGTGATTTAAATAAATTGATAGATTCCGGTCAAGAAAACCCGTCTTTGGATTGGAGCAAGAGAATGCGTATAGCTATAGGAGCATCACGCGGGCTTGTGTATTTGCATGAGCAGTGTAACCCTAAAATAATACACAGGGATGTGAAAGCTGCAAATATATTGCTCGACGAAAGTTTCGAAGCGGTTGTGGGAGATTTCGGGCTAGCGAAGCTTCTAGATCCTAGGGTTTCGCATGTTACGACTGCTGTACGTGGTACTGTGGGCCATATCGCACCGGAATATCTCTCGACCGGACAATCTTCGGAGAAAACCGATGTCTTTGGATTTGGTATACTGCTTTTGGAACTCATAACTGGGCAGAAAGCGTTGGATGCTGCTAATGGACAGGTTCAGAAAGGAATGATTCTTGATTGGGTGAGTCGATTTTTCAGCCCTTTAGGCTCTGTTTGGATTGAAGAATTTGAAGTTTCTTAAATTTGAAATACTTGAAATACATTGGATTTTCAAATCAACCATAATAAATCAAATTGAGAGTTCAAAAAATTGAATTGAAATTACATTCTAACAACTTTTATTTAAAGGTACAAGTGGATGGTTTTCGAATTGAATTCTTGGTGATTGAATTTCTTGTTTCGATTTTTCTATTTCAATTAATCCTCGTATTAAGACAATGGTTTGGTGTTGAACAACACAGGTTAGGAATCTGCATGGCGAGAAGCGATTGGATGAGCTTGTGGATAAGAATCTGAAGGGATGTTTTAATTCGGATGAATTAGAAAAAGCTGTTGAGCTGGCGATAAGATGTACTCAATCGAGCCCAGATCTACGGCCGAGAATGTCTGAAGCATTGAAGATCTTGGAAGGAATCAACGGTCAGATTGAGCATACGGAGTCGCAAGGTGGGGTGGATCTTTGTCAGGGTCGAACATTTAGTTTCTCGTGGAATTTTAGCGACGCTCGTGAGGAATCTTCTGTTGTTATTGAGGCAATCGAACTTTCGGGACCGAGATAATTTAAGTGTGTATAAATTATAATCTATAGTTTCAGTTCAGTTGTGGAACTTCAAAATAGGGAAACCTCATCTTCAAGTGTAAATAATACATTTGTAGTAATTTCTGCAGACACAGGCCAAAACATGTCATTCCTTAATTATAAATAATGTAATTTAAATATTTAGAATATTCAATTCAAAGGATTTTCTATTATCTCTTGTAAAAAATATGAATTAATCGTTTTTTTTTTCTTCTTGTGATTTTAAAATTTGACAACAATTGAAATCTAATTTAAAAAACTTTAATTTTTTTTTTAAAAAAAAAATTGAAGAGAAAATAGCATTTTTAAGAAATAGTAACATGTTTAATTTTTCAAATATAATTGCAATATTTATTGAAAATATATAATTATTGATACCTAATTTCATCCGTTAGAATCAAAATCAGTCACCCCCTTCTCAATTCTTCTAATACGACACCGTATGTTCTACTCATATTCAATTTATCATTCGATTTACGTTTTCCCTCTCGCTCTCTCTCTCTCTCTCTCTCTCTCTCTCTCCGTTCAGTGTTGTGGCTCAGCTACTGCGATTTTCCATAAGTGCGCAATTCAATAGCTCATAATCGAAGGTTTCTCCTCTTCCCATTTCCCTAATTTATCATGAAATTGAATTTGTCCATGAGGTTGTCGATTTTTTCTTCATCCATTTTTTAAATTGGGTTCCAACTATGCTTTCTCTCTCTAAAACCGTCTGTTTCTTTAGCAGATTGCCAAAATAATATGCTCAACAAACAAATTCAGTTTTTAGTTCACAAATTCGTTCATCCTATTACGAAATGATGTTTTGCTGTTTTGTGTAGTAGCTGATTTCGTAGTGATTAAAAAATTGATGGGTGATGAAACTTCTCCTCTTGCTGATTTGTGCTTTTCGATATCAAAAAATGGATATCAAAATTAGGGTTTAATTTTTGTGAGAGCGATGAAAGGGTGACTCTAATAGTATCACTTGAGCAATTTAGTATCTCCTGATTCCATTCGTTGTTTTAGATTCTTTAATGCAGTACATATTGTTTTCCCTTATGGTATTTATTTTTTTGTTTCTTGTTTGTTTATTTACTTTCAGAGAGTGTGGCAACTTCAATGCCTAGGCGGAAAGTAAGAAAAAATGCTAAACAACCTGTTAGCAACAATTTAGATCAAGATGGAGTCCCGACAGATAATAACGAAGAAGATTTCGTGGACCATGAAGGTATTATTAACTCAACCTTTTACCATATCGAAATTATGTCTTACTTATTCATGATTATGTCAACTCAATCTTCATATACAACAGATGTTGAAAAACGTAGAAAATAGTAGATTGGTTGATTAGCATTTTGTAGTGCACTTGTAATATGAATATATATGATCTTGAGATCTCATATTTTCCAGTGGAATATGCTTTCAGCCTAAGCCGATTGCAGAACATTTTTTCCTTTTACAGATTTTTTTTATTTTCCACATCGAATAGTTTTTCTATCCAAATGACGCGTGTAAAGTATTTTGCAATTTTTATGATCCTAAATGTGTTGCATGTGTTACTGAATTAGGGCTTGAATTAAAATGTTACGAGCAAAACTTTCCAAGTTGCTCGTTCCACAGAAACATATAGCTTTACTTAACAGAGTAGCACTTCAGTCTGTGTGCTGTTGTGATTCAATTTTCATTTCACCTTAACAAAAAAAATCAGAAATCAAGTTACTGCGATATTTATTCTTCTTCGAAAGCACGCTTGGTTCTCTACATGCTTATTAAATTAAATTATTTTTTTTTCATCAGTTGAACGACAAAGTGCTGCAATCAGGGCTCTACGGGATGTGGAAATTGAACAACTGCAGACTATGTTAAGGTTGCTTTGCTCCTATTTCAGCGAGGAACAGTTGCAAGTCCCATTACTGCCTTTTTTCGAGGAAAACTTTCCAAACCTATCTATTCCAAAAGCAGGGAAAGATGGCAAGTATGAAGTGAAATGGAAAGACAGAGAAGAAATCTTGTCTATGAACAATGCTGATGGAAGAACACTACATTCTTCTTTTCTACATCGGCTTTCAATGGCTTATCCTGATTACTCTGCTGGAATTCCTTCTATGGGTGGCTTCGAATTTTCAAATAAAACCGGTAATTAAGAAATCGTTTTTTTATTGGTCAAAGCTTTTCTTTGCATATCAAGTCTGATGCGGTATATTAATTTTTTTGGCAGTGAAAACTGGCTTTTTCGGTGCTGATAAACTGCAAATCAGGAGTCTTGTATGTTTTTGTTCAGCTAACTTTTACTTGTTTATTAGTAATCTTTGTTTCTAGACATGCTCCTGCTTTTGAATAAATTTGTCGCGAGCTATCTTTTGTGAAAGCTTGATATAGCTCAAGGCATTTATTTATTTAAATTAGCAATCTGACTTTGATCTTTGAATTCTGATTCTCCCAAAATACAAAATTCAGGTCTTGGAAGAGCCATCTGACTCACAAATATTAGAACCGAAGGATAGCCTGCAGACACCAAATGTACGTATCTTTACATAGCCTGAAAAAAAAAGCTACTTCCTGAATGAATTTTAATATTTTTCAAGTTTATTTCTAAGTGGACAGAGTAGTGAATATATCTTATCTTTTCATGTACTATTTTAACCCTGAAGCTAGACTCCTTTATTTTCAATGTCTTCTAAAGCACGGCCACTTCATATGCAAACGGGTTTTTATTTTTTTAGAAGACTTTAGTGCTCGTTAATCGAGACGTAAATATTTGTTGAATATCTCTACATAGCCTGAAAAAAAAGCTACTTCCTGAATTAATTTTAATATTTTCTATTTTCTTGATTTTATTGGTTTTTTATATGATCATTGCAGGTTAGTAATAATAGATTGTCTGTTGGCATAACCCCGAAAACTCTGAGGCTTCCAAAGTGCGGTGAGGTGCTTCTGTCTGTACATGGATCGCCCCTTGGTGTTTATAAGGAAGACAACATGGAAACTATACAAGGTATGCTTTCGTATATTTACGATTTTTGCATATTTCCGTGTTTGAAGTTTTAACATAATTTTTCAAAGGTAATCAGAGAAATATGCAAGAAAGGCTGATAAAACTTTATATCTTTATTAAAATTCACTCTATCATCTTACAGAGACAGACGATGGTTGAAATCATATGTTATTAGAGGAAGATGTACTGCGTTTAAAGAGGCTCACTCGAATGTATTTAACTGAAATCATGCTACTTCAATATATGTAAGTAATCGATAAACTTTCTACGCTATCGATCTTGTTTGTTGCTTGTCTGAATAGAGTGACCTTAGTTATCTTAAGACTTAGATTTTATTTTCTATGGTCTAATTTGTGATGAGAAATGAGGAAATAGTAAAGGGTTGTAAGAGAAAGACGTGTACAACAGCAACTTGTTAGCACTTGATTATATATATATATATATATATATATATATATATATATATATATATATATATATATATATATATATATATATTTTTATTTATTTTTATTTCAATTTATGAAGGCTGAATAATTAATGTAATAATAAACAAAATCGAAAACCTGTTCGGATTGAACTACACGACATGTTTCAGGCTTTCATGTTACTTGTTTCCTTTAGAAACCATTGAAGGCTCCGAAAAGACGAGTTTGTAGGGTCTTTTCATGTTACTTACTTCACATGTTGTGCTGTGTTTGCTTTTGTTTTTTAGGTTTCATTCGTATTGAATGATATGAACGAAATAATTCAAATTCATAATAATAAATTCATCGATAATTTTTCTTTTTTTTTAATTCAATAGACTTTGAATAAATATAAATAATGTGCGTTCGGCTCGACTTAATTCGTTTACCGTTTTACACTCCAACGATATGGTCCAAAGGAGACTTCTTGAACCGATAATTAATTATTTAAGTTTTTTTTTTTTTTTTTTTTTGAGTAAAATTATTTAAGTTAGTTGACATTTAAATAAGTGCAGTTGCACTATTTTTTTCCACCCTACATCTAGCCAGGTCACATTTATAATGACTTCACCTATTTCTTTGTCGCAACTCATACTTCACGGACAATGTAATAATTGCTTTTGTTTTTAAAGTACCTTTGCTATTTCCTAAATTTGTTATCAAGATATTCTCAAAGAAATATTCCAATTTTGAAATACTTTTCAGTTTTCTCATCTAATATACGATTTATTTGATATTACACCCGGTTAAAATATATCAAATAATTTTAGCCTTGTTCTGCATATAATCGCACACATACGCATGTGTGCTTACCTTGTGGTTATTTAATCTCATCAACGATTACAAATTATTCAGTGCAAATGACCTAATGTAACATCTAACAAGTACTAATATACATAGCAACAACCTTAATTTTGGGATTCCAAATGAATCCGATTAAAATATATTAGATGGCAAGGAAAAAATAAATATGTTTTCCCCCTAAAAGAAAACAAATATGCTTTAAGTTTCACTTTTTTTTTTTTTTTTTTTTTTTTTTAATTGGAAATAAAGCTCTACACAAATTTCATACTTTCTTCAAAAGGCAAATTACGTCCACCTCCTTGAGATAAAGTTAAATTATGAAACAACCCCTCATATTTGGATAATTATAACTACTTCCCCAATTATGCATTTTCTTACAAAAAAAAAAAACACTCATTCAATAGGTAAATTCAACATTGTAAAGTTGAACGTCGATGGTCGTAATTAATCCAAACAGGAGATTTTTTTTTATAATTTGACCATCTTTAAATTACTCCACCCCTAAAAAAGAAACAAATATGTTTGCATCTCAAGTTTAAAAATCATAAACAAATTAACTTTTTAAGCCTTTTAATATGGTTCATGCTTTAAATCTATTATTTTTTTTATTAATACTTTTCGCATAAGGTCTAAACCCTAAACATAAAATTGAAACCAACCACAAAACAAATTGGGACGGCAAATGCAAAAAGAGAGAGATAAAGAAATAGATACAGGGAATCATCGTTCGCCGCCGGCGCTATCAACGAATTAGTCGCCGTCTTTTTGCCGACCGTCGCCGCCGTAGCCTTTGAATATTATTCCCTCCAATTGCCATAGTGACAAAATATTTCTATAATTTTTTTCAATAAAAAAATTGGAAAAGACGTGGGCCGTACCGTTTATGGAAAGGCACTATCATCATCATCCAGACATTTACACATATGTATATCCGTATCCATACGCGCTTATATCTATAGCCCCCCACTCTATTAATACTGAAGAGAGAGAAACTTGAAGTGTGTTATAGAGAGAGAAAGAATAAGTGGGGTGTTGGTGGTGGTGAAGTCAACCGTCAACAGGCGGTGGTGAAGAAGTCGTTAACGGTGTCGATTTCTCCACGGAAGCACTGAAAACCCTCTGATCATATGTAAAGATCTCTCGCCCCTCTTTTTCCACCAACACCCTTTCAATGGAAATCAACCACCTCCCCTCTCCCACGTGTCAGCTTCTTATTGGTCAGCCCCTGCTTCACCATTCAACTGTATAGGTTGTTTGTAGATACATTTGGCTTGTGTGGGTTTTTGTAAAGACTGGATTTTTTTGAGTTTTTTACTGTGAATAGTGAATGATGGATCAAGAATTGAGGGAAATTAAACAAACAGGTGATGTTTCGAGAAATTCGGAGACTGCAATTGCAATAGAAGCAAATGAAATTGCCGATTCGAATTCGAAGACAAAAGGGTCTGCTCCGAATAAGGCAGTTGTCGGAGATGGAGAGGCGAAAACGGAGGGGGCGGATGATAAATGTTCGTCGTGTGTAATCGACGTGAGGTGCGATGAATTCGCGGAGGAAAATCAGAGGGTTTGTAGGATTTGCCATTTGACTTCGAAGGAAAGTGGTAGTAATTCGATTGAGTTGATTGAGCTCGGTTGTGGATGCAAAGGCGAGCTTGGTGTTGCGCATCAGAATTGCGCCGAGGCTTGGTTTAGGATGAGGGGGAATAGGTAATTTCACTTGCTCTATATTTCGTCGATTGTTGATCTATGGTTGTTTGTGATTTCATTCGTTCTTGATTTTATAATCTTTTCAATTTGATGAGTTCTGCACTATTCGAATTTTTTTTCCGAGATGTTTAGTTTTAGTACTTTACCTACAAGGAAGACTCGTTAGCTAGGCATGGATAGTTTTGATGACGGTTCTATGTGTTTTAGTTATCGTTAATTGTGAATCCGAAAACCATGACAAGAAAAAGTGATTCTTGGCTGCAAGCAAATCTTGAGATTCTTCGTGTTTTTGTCGCCCTAGGGTTGTCAATTAAAATCTTTATAATTAGTGTATTCTTATTTCACCCTTTGGTAATGAAATGATATTGTGCCTTTCGAGTGTTCTTTATAATTCTTTCTGATTTAACCGTACAATTTTATGAAAACCTAGACTTGATTCACACTTTCTCGTACTTGCGTTTTTTTTTTTTTGAAGTTAATGGATTGTAATTTAGGCTTTTGGGATTGAGGTTGCAGATTGTGTGAAATATGCGGTGAAACGGCAAAGAATATAACAGGCGTAAGTGATCATAACGGATTCATGGAAGAGTGGAACGAGAGTGTATCGGGTGATACTGCTGGCAATACCACTTCTTCGCCCGAAAACCGAAGGTGCTTACGCGGGCAGCCGTTGTGTAACTTCTTGATGGCTTGTTTGGTAATAGCATTCGTCCTCCCTTGGTTTTTCCGTGTAAATATGTTTTGACCATTTAACCAAGAATCCCTTTTCATTACACAGTTCGAATATCGAAACCACCGTTTTTTTTCTTTTCGTTTATGTTGGCTGAATTATTAGTTTTTTTTCTTTTTCGAGTGGTTGAAAATGAGTGTTTGTGGTTTATATATGTTGACAATTGATATCCATTGGATGCCGATGATTTTTTTGTGAAGTTGGTTGACTTGGTGGTGAGTGTAGAATCTTTGTTTTGACATATATAATCAGATGAATTTCACCGAATATTATCGTACCATACACGTGTGTAGTTCTATACATATCTTACACACATCCACATGTATGTGTGTGTGAAATGCGTAAATTAAAGGTAGAAAATAACCCGTTAAGTTCACCGGGTGTAGCTTGGAACAAACAAACATTCATTCTGAGACCTTTTTATCACAAATGTTTTTGTCGAGTTGGAGTTCAAATAATCAATATTTTGTAATAGAATTTTCGAAGTCCGCCAATTCCGTCCTTACTTCAATATTTTGTAACTCGAATTTTCGATTTTGGAGTGATATTTCTCATTCCGAAATCCGAAAGTCCTGACTTCTGATTTTTTCGATGTTGTTTTGGAACGGAATTTGAATACATATTTAGATTTCAATTTCGGATTCAATTTAATTTCTGAATTATATTTCGGAATTTACACTTGTAATATGAATATTATTATGTATTTTATATTATAGATTATTAAAAACTTGAAATTTTTGAATTTCACTAATTCCAATTCGATTTTTTTTTTTTTTTTATTGAAATGATTTTTTTTTCCATTCAAAATTCCGATTTTCCCCATGTATCAGTTTCGGAATTTCTAATAAACAACCACAAAAACATATGGTAATGCGACTTTAGTTGAATTTGTAAACCAAGATCCGTATTACAATTCTACAAAATCAATTGGGCGACTCTTAACTATTTCTTATATTCTGTGATCACTGATCAGTCCACCCGCAAACTTGATAATTTGTTGTTTTATATCTAACAAATATTCACTAATCCGTTGTAGTCTAGTTGGTCAGGATACTCGGCTCTCACCCGAGAGACCCGGGTTCAAGTCCCGGCAACGGAATTTTATTATTTTGCTTTTAAAACCTTCCTTCTTTAAATGCACTATGCATCCCTAAAGTATTTGTATGTAACAATTACCTCCCCATAACTAACTTTCATAACACTTACGAACTCGCCCCTAAAATGTCATTTTTCGCATTTTTAAATGAAGGAAAGCTAAATTATGGATAGGTACAAATGAGTTGATGAGCCGAATCGACGAATGTTCGAGTTTTTTAGCTTCAACTTTTTGACAAGCTTAAGTTACAGCCAATTTTTAGTTGTTTATGAGTTACAAATTAGCTCCTGAGTTATTTTAATTTTATTTATATTTTTTATATTATATAATATATGAAAACAATTGTAATAATAAATAACTACATACAATTTTTTTGATTATAATAATAAAAATTGTAATAATAAATTGTAATTTTTATTATTACAATAAAAATAATTGAAAATAATATTGAGTTCATAATAAATTAGAAGGGAAAAAAGGAGCTGAAGCTCATTAAATTTTCCTGGCTCGACACGAACTCGACTGATTTACACACCTAGACTAAATAAGTTTATTTGATGATTTTCATTATCATGTTTTTTTGTTCAAAAAAGTTAAAGGGGGAGGGGGCAAAAAGAAGGAAAAAAAACTATTGGCTCAATAAAGTATTAATGGAAACCTCATTGGTCGTTTTAACATAAGGAAACAATAGAGGTACCAAATCCAAAACATCCATTTTCATTTATAAACACACCAACTGCCAAACCGTAGCCAACACACGTCTCCCACCCCAAACCCTAGCCAACATTCGTCTCCAGTATCTACACTACAACCCCACCCTTCCACCGACGCCGCCGCCGTCGCCGCCGAAACCACCACCGAGTAAATGGATCGCGTCTCGTGAAGTAATCCTCGCAGCAAGTGATCTATCACTTGATGCGAGGATTTCCACACCAACGAAGAAGATCATGGCAGATGTCGCAATCATCCCGTCGAAGCGCCTCCGCAACAAGATCGCCGGATTCTCCACACATCTGATGAAGCGCATCCAGAAGCGCCTGTCCGTGGGATCTCACTCAAGCTGCAGCAGGAGAAGCGCGAGCGGCGTATGGATTTCTTGCCCGACGAGTCCGCCATTAGAGTCGATCGCATCGAAGTTAATTTTTTTCTGGTTATTGTTTTGATTTGGGTGTTTTTTTTTACGTATAATTGAATTTCATTTCCAATTGTTAGTCTGTTGAAAATTTTCGATGTTACTTTCAGTTGATGAATTTTAGTTTGAAGTGAAATTGTTGAGTCACCTACATATTTTTTTCTGGCCGGATTTATTTCTGAAGTATGAGATTTTGTTAGTTATGATTCAAGAATTGTGATTGTTTCTAGCAATTGGTTAGGGTTTCTATTATTTATTTATTTTTCGTGAGGGTGAGGTGTGTGTACCTTTGTATCGGAAATCCATCATTGTGCTATATTACATTGAGGATTCTGCTTCGAGAAAGATTCATTTCATTGAAATTAGGTTATTCAGCGGAATCATTTGTTGATTAAGGACAAATGTTTAGGTCTAGTTCAAGTCTGGAGCTTCTGGCTTTTATCATGTCTTGTGTTCGCCAACTTAAATGCTTCACTTACATTCTGAACTCGACTGCTTCACCTACGTTATGAATCCCCTTTCACATAAAGACAAAACATCGTAAACTCATTGAGATGATGACTGTCAATAGTGGAGAATGTACATACTTATAGTAAGAACTGAATAAGCTACTCAACAGTGGAGAATGCTCACCTGATTTGGTGGATAATGTACATACTTGAGAGTTGTTGAACTGTATAAGTAGATATTCTTATAAAGACAAAACATCGTAAACTCATTGAGATGATGACTGTCAATAGTGGAGAATGTACATACTTATAGTAAGAACTGAATAAGCTACTCAACAGTGGAGAATGCTCACCTGATTTGGTGGATAATGTACATACTTGAGAGTTGTTGAACTGTATAAGTAGATATTCTTCAAAAGATGTTTGATGTTGCACGACTTTTCATGCATGTTGTTTTTTAGAAAATAAATTTTGGGTTTCTTATGTATGGCTCGTAAAAGCAATGAAATGTAAATTGCTGTTTCTGATGTTTGCCTCAGAAAACTCATTTAAAAAAATGATAAACTCTTAATACTTCACAAGTCCGTATACATGGGTCAGACACAGAATTATAGTTCACTGCCACCGAAATTAAATGTTGAAAATGTTAATCTCAATGCAGCAGCGTGTGACGTGTCTGGCGTCATGCCATGCTGCTATTCATGTGATGTCTTGCTGCAGAATATCAACTCTTTTTGAATTTTGTATTCCCATCGAACTAAAACTAAATTTTGGGCTCTAAAGCGTAAAGATGTAATACCATTTTATTTGCATGTATTAAATTACATTATTCTGTAGTCAATATTCTATACTTTATTTATGCTTACTTGCTTATCGATCCATTTCAGATGGGAGGAAGATCAAACATTATGGACGAGCTGTGTTGCTGTTTCCATTCCCCAGAGAGACCTGCTGGTTCTATGAGTCCAGCTTAGAATATAAGTTTGTTCCATTACCTTGGGCAGGTCGTGATTTTTCTGGTGGTAGTCAATTGTGCTGGTGATCCTTTCAAGAAAATGGATTGAAAACATATTGCCGTTTAGAGGAGTCAGATTTTGAAAGGTTAGTTAATATTATTTTTCCTGCAAACAAATGTTGATATAGGATGGCAATTAATTTGAAAGATCAGTTAAATGCATGTTCTGCAACTTGTTGACTGATTTATTGTGTATACATTAAACATACAAGATTTCATTTATTAGGTAGGCTGGAAAGGAAAAAAAAAATTCTTGTAGTTCTCATTTCGATATGTATCACCTCATTTAGGATCCATCAAGAAAGATCATCTCATTATGCCCCTCTCTGAGCCCAAGTAACATTCAACCACCCTCTGAACCATTGTTGGTTAGTTCATCAATTTAGTAGTATTCGTAATTGTGAAGGGTTTGTTCACTTCTTCAACCAAAGCTGCAACAAAGAACATGATAATAAAGTAATAAACCCATACTAAAATTAATCTTAATAATATTTAGACAATGCTTGTAAAGTTGCTGAAATGGATGAACTGGATTATGAGTTGATGCCTTTTCTTATAAATATCTCAAATTTATGTGCATTGTTGATTTTGTGAATGAGCATAACACACGTACAGATCACAATGCAGTGTGCGATCTGTCTGATTGGCTGGCCTCATGCCGTGCTATTCAGCTATTCAAGTGATGTCTTACAGCCGAATATAAGTTTTGAATTAAGAAGTAACTAGCTAATCTTATTATTATCAACTCTTTTTGAATTTTGTATTCCCATCCAAGTAAAACTAAATTTTGGGCTCTAAAACGTAAAGATGTAATACCATTTTCTTTGCATGTATTAATTTACCATATTCTGTAGTCATTATTCTATACTTTATTATGCTTATTTTCTTATGGATCCATTGTGCTGGTGATCCTTTCTAAACAACGGATTGAAAACATATTGCCATTTAGAGGAGTCATTTTTTGAAAGGTTAGTTAACATTATTTTTTCTGCAAACAAATGTTGATCTAGGATGGCAATTAATTTGGAATATCCGTTAAATGCATGTTCTGCAACTTGTTGACTGTTTTGTTACGTATACGTGGGCAAAATTAATGTTGACACTGATATCATCTACATTAAACATACAAGATTTCATTTATTAGGTAGGAAGAAAAGGAAAAAAGTATTTTCTTATAGTTCTCATTTTGATATGTACCACCTCGTTTAGGATCCATTAAGGAAGATCATCTCAACCATCATTTAGTTCATCGTTTTAGTCATATTCGTATCTGTGAATGCTTTGGTCACTTTAACCAAAGCTGCAACAAAGGACATCATAATAAACCCCCATATTAAAATTAATCTTAAAAATATTTGGACAATGCTTGTAAAGTTGTTGCCGAATTGGATTATGAGTTGATGCCTTTTCTTATAAGTCTATTGAATTGATGTGCATTGTTGATTTTGTGAATGAGCATAAAACACGTACAGATCACAATGCAGCGTGCGACTCTGATTGGCTGGCCTCATGGCCGTGCTGATGTCTTGGAGCAGAATATAAGTTTTGAATTAGGAAGTAACCTGCTAATCTTATAATTATCAACTCCTTTTGAATTTTGTATTCCCATCCAAGTAAAGCATTAAGGTGCAATTCTATGTTCTTTGCATGTATTCTCATAATTTTGTACTTGATTTATGCTTAAATTGATTTTGTATGGATGAATTTCAGATGGGTGGAAGAACAGTCGTTAGAAACGAGCTGCTTTGCTGTTTCATTTTCTCAGAGAGACCTGCTGCAGGTTCTTTGATCGCAAAAACACTTGCCCTTTTCATTGCATCTCCGTAGGGAGAAAATGAGATGGATGGGTGAGTTTCGGGGCCCATGCAAATAATCATGGTTCTGAATATGAATTGGAAGCCAGTAAAAGAAGGGGAAAAAAAAAAGGACATTCTAATACAGCTATTACGGACTTCAAATAGGCCCAAATAATGTCCGTTCGTGGGCCTAAATGTGCTGAATCCAGGCCCATTTACTAATTAATTTTAGCCCAGTCCATTTCACATGCCTAAAAATTGTTCCAGTCCAAGTCTAATACAAACCTATCACATGCCAATTTCGGGCCCAATGACAATCAACAAAGACCCACTCTAATATTATGCAATGCTAATTCCAGGCATAAAATGAATATATGCGTGAATTCACTGAAGAGTAACTTAAACTTGTGTTGGCCACAAGACTGGAATAATGTCCCTTTACAATTAAAAGATAAAAGTCCGTTTACACAACAAAAGTCCGTTCGATCACTTTACAGATTTCCTTTCAGCATTGCATATACAACAAAAGTCCGTTTTATTATTGACAGTTTCTTTCATACATACAATCTGGTAGCAAATAAAATTGGAGATGCACTTATTGCATGATCACGAGCCGCCATTAATTTATTCGAAAGTATATTCTAGAGATGCACCTTATGCTCCCTTCAACTTCTGCATCAGAATACGACAAAATTTGTCAGCTCAAAGCATATTCAAGTCTCTGTTAGACATTTATACACTATCCTAAACTGTATTCATAGAGAAACATAATTTTATCTTCGATATTTTACTGTAGAACTGACTCAGAGATGACATGATATAACAACAAAACAATCAACATTAAATATAAGTTGCCATACCTTCTCGTTGTGTCACAAACTACTAAGGTTTGAATCCGGCATTAATGGCAGATACAAGTTTTGCCCCAAAAGTGCCTGCACGATTGTATGTTGTAATCTGTATCAATTACATGGCACCAAATATTAGTTAGATGACAATACATTACAAGTACACAATCAAATCAATGAAAATAGAGATAGGTCATAAGAAAATTATATGACGATAAGAATGGACCAGTGTACGGCCTTTCGAATATTACGTTCAATGTATGATAACATGTAGAAGCTGATGGAAGCCCAAAGAGGAACATCAGAAAACCCCTACATTTATCGTAAGTTCATAAGTCAGCTCACACTCATGGGATAAGCATGAAGTTTTTCTCCATTTTGCATTCAGAATTTACTCCTACTAATAATATGACATGCAATTTCCTCAAAATTCAGAAAAAATCCTGACGTAAGAGTCACATTGATATTATATTTATAAAAAAGAAGAAGAAACCCAATAAAATATCCCAAGATTGGATTCAGTAAGACTGGCCTAATTCATTGGCCTTAATAGCGAACAAATAAGGAATTTGATGGCCCTGAATAAACCAGGGATTGATTATGGATAGTAAAAACCGGATCAAGGTGTTTGAACCCAAGCAAAGGTGCTTGAGCACAGCTGATACAAACTAAAGAAACATACAACACTCTCTTGGACCAAGTCCAAAATGTAATCTTGAAGTAATGCCAAAATGTAGAAGCGCAAAGAGCAGGAGGGAAAGAAAATCCACCCATGAAAAATCAAGTAAAATATCGTCATCAAAGTTCAAACACATTAGACTAGAGCTCAAGAAGTGGATGGTTCTAGAGGTTAAGATTCTAATTCGTAGAGATTAGACTAGAGCACAAACAAACAAATAATAACTGTAAGAACTTCAACAAGAGGGGGATACAAGAAAAATGTTTATATTATGCCTGCATAATACAACTTTCTGTTAGAGAACTGCTGTGGTCTTACCGCAACAAATGTATTCCGTTTACATATCTTCTTTTTTAACTTCTTACAGCTCCCGCTCATTGTTTGCATGCATTTAGTGATGCAATTGAGGTAGTATTAGTGCCATCCGGAGGGGTTTGTACCTCTCCAATTAGTTTTATCTGTTCAAGGACAAATTATGTATAATATAGAAGTTATTGCCATATCACAAGGACAAATTAATCGAATGTTAGTGTACAGAATTCCAACCAGACGAGTACTATTGTCAATCGAAGCTACAAAATTATTCACAAAATGGAAATCTTGTACAGAAGATCAATATTTGTAACACTGATGAATACATGTTTCTAAGTTAGCACCTCAAAATGACATATCCTTGAGGTTAGCCTGGCATTTTTTCTCTGGCTGTTAAGGCTTAGGCTACATTTCATATAAGTGACTAACAAAAACTTAATTGTATATATACTAGGTGGTGGTCAACTTGAGGAGAAATGCAATAATTAGCCTATATTTACTAGTGTATGTGCCCGAATAAGAGAAAATCTTTCCAGGAATTATATGTACTGAGCTCTGCCCACAAATTTTTAGAAAGTATATAGAAGTGAACACACTTAAAGCCCATAATAGATAAATAAATGCAGACAAGAAAAACCAACTCTCATTAGGAGAGTTGGTACCCAGCCTTACCAATAGGGTAAAAGGTCTAGGGTTCGAGTCCCCCCTCCCCTACTTCCCCTTGTAATGACTTGAATTATTCAAAAAAAAAAATTGCAGACAAGAAAAATGAATAAAGAGAAAAATGCACCAAATAAAAATACCTGATTAAATTCAGTCATTAAATAACTTCAACCAAGGAGGAGATATAACATCTGTATATCAGTTTTCACGTTTTCCAAAGCGATATAAGCTGTTTTTCGAACTCTACTAAACTGTACACAGATAGATATCAGATATAACTAAGTATATATACTAAACTGTACACAGATAGATATCAGATATAAGTAAGTATATATACGGGATTCAGAACAATCAAGAAAATTGATTTTCGGATTCTTTTACTCACATCTCGTACTTTCGACGAGCCTCACTCAGATTTGCTTTATACAGCTCACTGTCTTTAGGCATACTGCTGATATTATTTCCTGCAATATTAATATATCATTCTCAGCCATATGTACTGAGTTGAAATTTAAATTTTAAAAAAAGGAATAAACAATTATAAATATATATATATATATATATATATATATATATATATATATATATATATATATAATGAATAACCAAATTGCAAGATTTGTTCCACTAATTAAAGATAAGTAGGAACCAAACAGAAAGTGGAAAGAAGAAGACGAAAGTGTATCCTTAATAAGGCCTCGTTTGGTTGGGGAGATTAGTCATGATTAACTAAACAATTAGACTTTGTTTGATGTTTGGCAAACCCAATAATTTTCCGAGTCGACCCGGAAATATTATTTTATCTTGGCTTATAATGCCTTTTAGGGAGATTATTTATTGGACCTTCTTCCACGGTCCGATAATACAATTGGGTTTTCATTAGATTATATAATCTTATATTGGCAACCAAAGAAGGCCTATAGTCATATCTGACATAAGAAATAATTGCCGACGCAACCATTTGTAACAGAAGAACATTGCTCAGCCAGATATACGCACAATAAGATAGGAACTTAAAACAACAATGATTTGTGCCAACTGTCTAAAAAATATGAGATGCAAATCTTGTGTAGTTTTACCTAGCAATCTTAGCATTATACATGATTTGTCAAACAATTTTTAGACTATTTCAGTAAAATAATTCGTAAAGCCTAGCAAACTTTGCATCTATACCTGATATGACAAACATATTACTAATTTACTACTATTTCAGCAACAAATAAGTAACATATGTTCAGGCAACAATTACATTAAAATCAAACCAGTTGCCAACAATTACATTCACAATCAAGTAGGCATTAGAGGCAAGATGCCAAGATCAATGTTCAAACCTCAAAATTTCAAGAGCTCCTTCAGCAAAGCAACTACAGCCTCCTTGGCCTGTACAAAAGAGAGAAAACAATGGATTTTAATTAATAATCAATATTTTGTAGAGTTAATGAACTAGGATAAAACATGATTCAGAATCACTGTAGCTATCGCATGCATACAACCAGGGCATTTACACAGAGAAATTTCTAACAATACCCAATCACTGTGACTATCGCTTAATTTACTTCAATTTGTGAGTAAATGGGAAAAATATCTCTCACCTTATGGAGTGGAAACCACAGTAGGGTTCTCATTAATCTCCGAGAATGTCGCCATGTCCGCTACGGTGTAGACGGAGTCAAGTTTGGCGAGATCGCTAATTTCACTGAAATCGGATCGGGTATTATTCTGAAGGGTAGGCAACACGGCTCGCGTAAATTCACACGAGCAGGCCAAAGTCCGATTTTTTTCGTTTTTTTTTTTTCGGATTCGTAATCTACATAACAAGAGGATCGTAAAAACGTAAAAATTACCTCCGATCTGTTGACGATTTGCACGGGCTTTGCGAAAGAAAATCAAAAGGGTAGAGATAGTTTTTGAGTTTTTTACCTTTTGTTTTTTGAGAAATGGTAAAAAATGTGCCTGAATGTTTAATTTGTGCCTCCACAAATCATTTCAGTATTTAAAATTAGCGAAAATAATTTATAGATAACTATGCGGATCACTATAACAAATCTCAATTTTTACTTAATAATTAATGGAAAATTACTTTAATACACTTAATGAAAATTAAAACCAAAAAAACATTTCAAATATTATTTTTCTTTCTTAAATAGTAAATACCAAATAATCAAAAACCCTCAAAAACCATTTTCATCCTCACTCACAAACCTCTCACCTCCTCCACCTCCTTCTTTCCCTCCCCTAAAAACCCTCCTAAAAAACCTCAAAACTAAAGAAATCAAAACCTTACACAACTTGCAAAATGGCGTCAAATGACAATAGAATGGTAGTTTACGAGCAAGGATAACTCATTAAGGTATGTATTCATGTATTTTTTGAGCTAAAACATCGATTTTTATTTTTATTTTTTTTAAATCCGCCATCAACTTTCGACACATACAGGTCGAAAATGTGTTTATTTTTCGACATGTATGTGTCGAACAACATAATAATTGATATTATACTCATTTTCGACACTTAAGTGTCGAAAACAGTGGTAAAATTCTACAGTTACCCGTCGAATTTTGCTATTATTTTCGACACTTAAGTGTCGAATTCGTCCCCTATTTTCGACACCTAAGTGTCGAATGTGTCGAAAATATAGGACAAATTCGACACTTAGGTGTCGATTTTTTTCCTTTTGTGATTTTTAAACTTGATAGTATTCAAGTAAACAAAAGTTCGAATTTGTTATAGCGACCCCTTTAACTATTTGTATGCTAAAAAATAAATAAGATGGTCAAAGTAAAATTCAACGCTTTAGAAATACGGCGACGTTTTAACGTCGTGTGAAGCGCTCGGGGATGTATTGGCGGGAAACAATCTCAATTTTCCCGCCAGAGCAGAGACATACAATACTGACCTAGGTTTCCCTCCAGTTATTCTCCATTGCCAAAACTGAGCGAAATTGAACCAGTGAAAAACTGTACAACCTTTGAAGAAGCAAACCGGAAATGGAGGGCAACGTCGGCGGCGGGTATTGGGTGGACGAGAAGGCGGTGCCGGTGGAGAACATATTCTTGGAATTCCTCAAAACCTTCCGACTGGCGGAAGACGGCCGCGGCGGCTACGAGCCCTACTACGAGGCGGAGGTGGAGGCGATGCGGCCGAACGAGTCCAACACCATGTTCATCGATTTCTCTCACGTGATGCGCTTCAACGATGTTCTCCAGAAGGCAATCGCCGACGAATTCATCCGATTCGAGCCTTGCCTGAGGAATGCCTGCAAGAGATTTATCATGGAGCTCAAGCCAACTTTCATCGCCGATGACAACCCTAACAAAGACATTAACGTGGCTTTCTACAACCTCCCCCTTGTTAAGAAATTGAGGGAATTAACCACCACCGAGATCGGGAAGCTTTTGTCGGTGAGCGGCGTCGTCACCCGCACCAGCGAAGTTCGGCCCGAGCTTCTCTACGGCACTTTCAAGTGCCTCGATTGCGGAAACGTCATTCGGAATGTCGAACAGCAATTCAAGTACACTGAGGTTCTTACTTTTCTTTTTCCGTAGTAATAACCTTATTTGTTTATATTAGTCTCTTGAAATGAATGAATTGAGTTTAAATTACTACCTGCAACTGTGATTCTGAGATTCTGAGGTTCTTAATTTCTTTTGTTTGTTTGTTAATCTCTTGGAATGAATGATACTGTGTATGTGAATTGCTGCTTGTAACCGTGCTTCCGTTGAATTCGGAAAAAAAAAAAAAAATCTTGCTACTGTATGAATATAACTACATGATTGAATTGGATTTCTTAACTTATATAGTGTTTGGATACTCGTTTATCTCCGTTTGCAGCCAATTATCTGCATGAGTGCAACATGCCAAAACAGGTCAAGGTGGGCTTTGCTTCGGCAAGACAGCAAATTTACAGACTGGCAGAGAGTGCGTATGCAGGAAACATCGAAGGAAATACCCGCAGGCTCGCTTCCCAGATCACTTGACGTTATCCTACGTCACGATATTGTTGAACAAGCTAGGGCTGGAGACACGTAAGCATCATTTATTTGCATCGGGATTCTTTTTTTTTTTTCATCAGATAGCAACATCTCATTCTTTTGTTTGCTTTTTTCTTTTTCTTGCAGGGTTATATTTACCGGGACTGTGGTTGTTTTACCCGATATTCTAGCATTAGCATCTACAGGGGAGAGAGCAGAGTGCCGTAGAGAATCGTCTAGTAAGAATGCCATGTCTGGTCAAGAAGGTGTCAAAGGGCTTCGTGCGTTGGGAGTGAGAGACCTGAACTATCGTCTTGCCTTCATAGCCAATTCAGTACAGGTTTGTCACCTCTTCGAATTGTACATTAACTGTTTGAATCTCGTTTACATTCTTTAAAAACTGGTTTCTTGATTTTTTTTAATCCCTGGTTAGGTGTGCGATGGCAGAAGGGACTCCGATATCAGAAATAGGAGAGATGCTGATGAAGATGATAGCCGACAATTCACAGTAACGACCTTTTTTTTTTGTAGTCTGATTATTGCATTGTTAGTTTATGAATAATTAACGAACGTTTCTTTTCAAATTGTTTTGACTTATTTGGAACAGGCAGAGGACTTGGATGAAATCCAAAGAATGAGAAATACTCCCGACTTTTTCAACAAGCTTGTGGATAGCATTGCACCAACTATTTTCGGTCACCAAGACATCAAACGAGCCATCCTTCTCATGCTTATGGGTGGTGTCCATAAATTTACTCACGAAGGCATCAATTTAAGAGGGGATATTAATGTTTGTATTGTGGGTGATCCCAGTTGTGCAAAGTCGCAATTCCTCAAGTATGCATCTCTTTTTGTGTTTATGGGGAGTCAGTCGAGTCACACGTTGTCTTGTTCTGTTTATCGTCTAAATATTCTACTGTTCCATTAATTTTTCTTTAGGTATACAGTGGGCCTAGTTCCAAGATCTGTCTATACATCGGGAAAATCCTCATCCGCTGCCGGTCTTACTGCAACAGTTGCCAAAGAACCAGAAACCGGTGAATTCTGCATCGAGGTTTTTTTCTTGATTCTGTTCGTTTCTTGTTCGAGTATGTATCGGTTAATTGCTTCCGTTTTTTATATCTATTAATTGCTCTCAGGCTGGCGCACTGATGCTTGCTGACAATGGCATCTGCTGTATCGACGAGTTTGACAAGATGGATACAAGAGATCAGGTAATTGTAATTATATCATATAATTTAGATAAACAAGATCAGGTTATTGTAACTGACTTATGTTTGAATCATGCGTATACTTTTAAGGTTGCAATTCACGAAGCTATGGAACAACAAACGATAAGCATAACAAAAGCTGGAATACAAGCAACGTTGAATGCCAGAACATCAATCTTAGCTGCTGCAAATCCCACAGGAGGGCGCTATGACAAGACTAAACCCCTCAAGGTAAGAACTAAGAATGTAACCAACATATGTAATAAATCAGACCAGTTGCATGCATGCTTTCGCATAACGATGAATGCTAATTTTTTGTATAATTTTTCGACAGTATAATGTGGCTCTTCCACCAGCCATTCTTTCAAGATTCGACCTTGTATATGTGATGATTGATGACCCAGACGAGCAAACCGATTACCATATTGCCCATCATATTGTGGTAGTTCATCAGAAGCACGAAGATGCACTCTCACCTACATTCACTACCGCACAACTGAAGCGCTACATCTCATACTCGAAAACTCTGAAACCTAAGGTATGTTTGTTTATTTATAATTTATTAACGCGTCTTCACTTTGGCAGAGCTGTAGTCATGATATGTTGGCAGATGGTCTCATTCATAATATTTTTTTTCTTTTTTTTAATGCAGCTAAGCCCCGAAGCTAAACAGTTGTTGGTTGAATCTTACGTTTCCCTCCGTAGAGGAGATACGACACCTGGTAGTAGAGTTGCTTATCGAATGACAGTGAGGCAACTCGAGGCGCTTATCAGGCTTTCGGAAGCACTTGCGCGTTGTCATTTGGACAGTGAGGTGCTTAATTTAATTACCAAGAAAATTTGCAAAAATCTTTACCAAAAAGTTAGCTTCTCTGTGCCAAACTAATCTTATTTCTCATATGGATAGGTGCAAACTCGCCACGTACGTCTTGCTGTGAGATTGCTCAAGACATCGATAATCAAGTAGGAATCTCGTAAAACAACTTTTCCTGCAAGACACACACACACACACACACACACACACACACACACACACACACACACACACACACACACACACACACACACACACACACACACTAGTATATCTTCTTCTTTCTCCAATAAGTCATTGTTTCTATTTGATGATTTGCCTTACAGTGTGGAGTCGAGTGAGATCGATCTCTCTGAATTCCAGGAAGAGAATAATGATGTTAATGATGATAACGTTTCCGGTGAAGGCGAGACTTTTGCGACACCTCAGCAGAGTTCTGAAAACAGAGGTCAGCAAAAGATTCACTCAAAATAATGAAGTAGAGATCTTTTAACTTTCTGAATTTGCAAATAAACCCTTGTTTATTTTATTGTCATAATGCAGAAAATGCAGCAGAAGCGTCTCCAAGCAAGCGTGGAAAGAAGCTAGTAATAAGCGATGAATACTTTCAAAGGGTTACTCAAGCCCTTGTCATGCGGCTAAGACAACACGAAGACACTCTGACGCAAGGAGGTAATCTTCAATGCATGCCTAATTTTCATTAATTCGCACATAAGACGACTGTATGTGTGTATGTATATATGTATGTATGACTGA